GAGTTGAAGTCCACAAGTCACAAAAGGGCCACCTTTCCCCACCCCGATCTAAGGCTTGGTGGCAGTTTTCCAAATCAAAGGTTTTGTAACAGAATAGTTATCTCTTCACCATCATTAGGACTAGTAACAAATAAAAGGATTGTATTATGCCAGTCTATGTAGATAAATTTTTATGTTCAATTTCTTCTTATTCTATATTAAGGGCTACATGTGGCTTACAAGAATTTTTTAAAACATAATTTATTTATTTACATATTTTATAGCCATTATATGCTGCTCCAGTCATAACATTTTATTATACATTTTTAAACAATAGACAAAATACTAAAAAAGTACACCCCTAAACACAACATAATAAAAACAGTGGGCAAAACTAAAAAGAATACTTTTTACAAAACTAGTGCTAAATAAACAAAATAGAGAAAAGGAAAAATTATGAACAATCTAAGTATATCACCTATACATCAATATTAAACAATATACAGGTAGTCCTCAACTTATGGCCACAATTGAGCCCAAAGTTTCTGTTGCTAAGTGAGACATTTGTTAAGTGAGTTTTATCCCATTTTACAACTTTTCTTGCCACAGTTGCTAAGTGAATCACTGCAGTTGTTAAGCTAATAACATGGCTGTTAAGTGAATTTGGCTTCCCCAATGACTTTGCTTATCAGAAGGTTGCAAAAGGTGGCCCCCGCTGGGAGACTGCAATAGTTATAAATATAAGTCATTGACGAGTGTCTGAATTTTGATCACATGACCATGGGGAGGCTGCAACAGTCGTGTGAAAATGGTCATAAGTCAGGGGTGGGCAACTGTGGCCCTTTTACAACCTGTGGACTTCAACTCCCAGAATTCCTGAGACAGCCAAGCTGTCTCAGGAATTCTGGGAGTTGAAGTCCACAGGTTGTAAAAGGGCCACAGTTGCCCACCCCTGTCGTAAGTCATTGTTTTCAGTTCTGTTGTAACTTCAAGCAATCACTAAATGAACCATTATCTGTATTAGTTTTCAAATTTAAAAGAGAATAAGAATCTGTTATAAATATGAGGACATCTGTGTCAAAGAAAAAGGTATTATGTCATTTTTAATTAGTAGAAAAAATCTGGATAAGTCCCCTTAATGTCTGGAATAATAATAATAATAATAATAATAATAATAACAATAACAACAACAATGACAAAGACACTGACAATAATGTTAGTATTATTTTCCAATTTCTTAAAATAATTTTCTTAATTCCATGTGCCCAATGTCGCCAAAGCTGCTCAAAATCAGTCTAATTCCACATTTCTGAAACATAATCCAATATTAACATTATCGTCTTTAACATTAAATGATTTCCTCATAAATTGATTGTCACATATTAACCTATTGTTCCAAAAAGATGCCAACTCGAAAGAAAATACGATACAAGTCAGTGATCTCTTCCATAAAGTTAAATATTCATGAGCGTCAATGTCAGCAATCCAGTCTACAACCCAACAGGGCCCAAACATCTCCGGCTTTTTTCAGTCTCAGAATTGAAAAGTCCATTTTACTATACATTGACCCAAGTAATTGCCAAGGCCTTAATGGAAATAAATCAGAACGTTTCCAATGAGATCCACAAAGGATGACAGCCTACTAAATTTCCATTCTACATAGACATGGCTGATACGATAAAAGCTCAGTGATATTTTTGAAATCACCAGCATTAAAATATAACCTCAGTTTGAGAAGGAAAATCCTTGGCAGCCTGTTTTGCATATAAATGTGCTCAATAATTTGTCTATCTGAAGAAAATACTCGGATGAGGTTTTTATGTTCAGTTTCTTCCTGTTCTTTATTAAGAGGTATGTACAGTTTTAAAATTCTATTTTTATATCCAGTCCTGAAGACTCAACCCCCTAAGGCTGTGTAAGTACAGGTAGTCCTTGACGTACGACCACAATTGAGCCTAACATTTCTGTTGTTAAGTGAGACATTTGTTAAGTGAGATTTTTCACCATTTTACCACTTTTCTTGCCACAGTTGTTAAGTGAATCATGGCAGTTGTTCAGTTAGTAACCCTGTTGTTAAGTGAATCTGGCTTCCCCACTGACTTTGCTTGTCAGAAGATTGCAAAAGGGGATCACATGACCCCGGGACCAGTGGTGGGTTGCTCCCGGTTCGGCCCCGTTTGGGTGAACTGGTTCGGCCCCTTTCGGTGATCGCGCGCAAAGCGCGTGCACGAAGAGAAGCGGTGGTAACACCGGTTGGAACCCACCACTGCCTGGGACTCTGCAAGCGTCATAAATATGACCCAGTTGCCAAGCATCTGAATTTTGATCATGTGGCCATGAGGATGCTGCAAAGGTTGTAACTATGAAAAATGGTCATCAGTCACTTTGAATGGTCACTAAATGAACTGTTGTACATCGAGGACCGCCTGTAGGAACTTGCCGAAGGCCAACTCAATTTTTGTAGTTGAGCAAGAGATTTAAATCTTGTTTTACAGAAATGGAGATTTAGATTCTCTCTAAACAATGATCCAGTGAGGAGAAGGTTAATTTGAATTTGTTTCTTGGGGGGGAAAAAATGGAACGAAAGTTCTCATACCAATTATGAATATTTTCCTTTAGAATGATGAATAAAATATATATTCCACTCTTTTCCTGCCCACAAGTTACATCTAGGACTAGGCAACCAGAAGACTTTGTTTACCCAGAATCATTAAAATTTTATGCTAAGGACCTGCAATCATTGCAGGATGCTCCAGCTTGTGCTGCAGTTTTCACCAGAGAAAAGCAAGAATTCACTACCATTTTTCTCTGAGTGCCTACCGCATTCGTTGTGGTAGAGGTCAGTGGGACAGAGCGGAGCCAGCAGCAGCCCTGCCCCCTCAGAAGATCAGATCTTAAAGTTGGAAGGAACTCTGCTTCTTGTCCCTGTTAAAATAGCAGAGAAGGTCAAGACACTAAAAGGAATGAAAACACATACTTCTTTACTGAACCTTTGGAATATGGAATTCATCAAACCGTATTGTAGCTACGATAATATATATTTTAGACGAGAAGCCAAGTTAGTCTTCTGCAAAAACAACAATGAAGCACTGGTAGCACTTCGATGCTGGTGCCTTGTCCATATTCACGTAGTCCTTGTTTAATGCCCACAGTTGGTAACCAGCAACTTGATCGTTGATCAAAGTGATCACTAAGTGAATCGTCACGATTTTACGGTTTTACTTCAGCTCTCCTTTGCTTTACAGGCCTGTAAATACAAGGATTAGTTGCAAAGTTAGTCCTTCGTCGCTGTTGTAACTTCGACAGGCCAATGCGTGAGGCAGTCACTAAGCAAGGACTCCCTGTAGTTCATTAGATGGATTGTAATCTATAAAAGCATATATGTGATCATAAATATGTTAGTCTTTAAAAAAATAAAATTAAATACATCAGGTGACTTAAACAGACATTGTTCATGCAAACTACAGAAGTAGTTTGCAATTGTCTTCTGCATTTTTTTCCCCCAACCTTCCAATTCAGCATCTGATCTTTAAGGTCCCTCAAACCTTTTTGTTATTATTTTTTCTAGCCTATGTTAATAGTACTAGAATTCTTATTTATTAGAAGTTTTGTGGTGAAAGCTAAGCACTATACACGTTTTTAAATTTAATGGATCCTTATATTCTTAAACTAGAGGAGTAACAGTAACAGAGTTGGAAGGGACCTAGAAGCCAAAGATTAGGATTTTAGAGCATACCAAATCATGCATAATGTAATTTATGTTCAAAAAGTAACAAGGGGATTTTAAATCTACAGAGAATACTAAAGAAAAATACTTCAATTTTCCCCCAAAAAAATTTCCGTATCATTTTTCTTGGCTTCCGAAGGTATGAAAATCTTTAGATCTCTCATATCCTGAAACAGAGCTTTGTTCCTCTGTGAAAATTGAATGTACACAAGTACACAGCAGAAGATAAATGATCAGAGAGATATGGGTGTTTTGTGGCAGAGTGATGAATTTCAGTAAAGTTGGAGGTGGAAATAAAAAGGACTGCCCAAGTGCATTCAACGCATCAGCCTGTTATCCCTGAGCTTTATTTCATTTATTCATTCATTTAATTAGGTAGTGTCAGAATGTACCCAGCACTATACAGAAAGTGGGGGGGGGGGAACAGGATGATTTCCTGCTCTGAAGAGCTTAGTGTGAAGTTCAGGAAAATGGAGAGATGGAAACGGGGGGAGGGGGGTATTCACTCTTTGGTGCAGATTCAGTTGGAAATAAAGCAAAGGAATAAGGGGAAAGGATAGCTTAGCAAATACTGTGATCTCAGCCAGTTTTGGCTTATTGGTTAAGCCAATCATGGCTTCATACAGTGTGTGAATCCAGATGGTGAGAGGTGGCCTGCAGGAACTAAGAAGATGGGCTGAAGTATTTAGGGAAATGATTTATCCTGCATGGCAACTGACTGAATATGCAAAATGGGTGATTGATTGATTGATTGATTGATTGATCGTTGCATTTCTACCCCACCTTTCCTCAAGGATTGAAGGCAATGCACTTCCTTGATTTAATCCTTACAGTAATTCTGTGGGATGGACTGGCCTGAGAAGTAACGATGTAGCCCAAGCCACCCACTTCCTGGTCTTGGCCCAACCTTTTATTTTTTATTTTTTTAAAAAAATAATTTTTATTAAACAGTTTTTTAAAAAAAAAAATAAAAAAAGAAATTTTTACAATTTTCTTCTTTTCAACATTTTCGCCTCAGTAAACATTTCTTACATATCCATTTTTCTCCCTTACTTCAATTTACCATTTATATATATGATTCTAATATTGATTTATATACATAAAGATAACAATAAAATAAAATAAAAGGCCCAACCTTTTAAACTGTTAGATGAAATAGCCTCTTCCGCTGGCGGCTGAGTCTTTTGCGAATAAGGCAATGCCCTGTAATCTAAGCGTATTGGTTCAAGACAGCCTTTCCTTCACCCCCTTTGTGTGTGCAAGGATCACAGTTGTCCCTCATCTCTTTCCACAGGCCTGATCACTCACGAAGGCTCCTCGGTGTATCGAATATTCAAGCGCTGGCAGGCAGTGAACCAGCAGTGGAAGGTGCTGAATTACGACAAAGCCAAGGACCTGGGGGAACCCCTCGGTGGGAGCACAAAGACAGGGGGGCGGAATTCACGGACGAATCCCTCCTCAGGGAGTGAGAGGACCTCCCAGCGGGGCCAGCGGGTTAGGACTATTTTGAACCATCACTGTGGTTATACAATTCTGCACATTCTCAGTCACCTGCGGCCTAATGAACATCGCGGGGGCTCCGGTTCCGGCCGCGAAGTGGTCATGAGGGTGACGACCGTATAATAACTGCTTAGGGAGCTTTTGTCAAGAGGGAGAGGCCCTGCAGATCCGATGGAAGGAAGACACCGATGCCCTTGCTTCCACACAAAGGCTCCGTTTTGAGCCCCTACGGGGTTGGCCACACATTGAATACTGTCTGATGAAGAAGGCACCCGGCTCTGTGGTGTTGCCACAGACCCCACCCAAGCCTTCCTTGTAAGGGAGGAGCGCCTCAATGTGGTTTCCTCTTCCTGATCTCCCATCAATGTGAATTCTTTTCCTTTCCATCCAGGCCTGTGATAAAAGGAGAAATAACCCAGCCCTCCCCCCCACCCTGGCCCAGCCCTCCTGACGCCACCTCCCTGGCTTCTCTTGTTATGATTAAACTCTTTGGAAGTTGGGTGGGCTTTTAATTTATTTAATTTATTTAATTTATTTTTTTTTAAATGGCCCCTTGCTGGATCCCTTTCTGGACAAGTCTTGGCGCCAACCCATCCAGAAATTTGGAAACATTTTTACCTCATCTTTCAAAGGAAAACCTGCCAGAAGAACCACGCCTTGCCACCCTCATCCTGTTGCTCTCTTTCTCTCTGACCAGGAGATGCCAACCAGAGAGGCTCTGAACTTTGACCATCCCCTCCCGAAAAAAAATAAATTTGAAAAATGGTGCAATAAACATGTTTCTTAAAGCAAAATGGCATCTTGCAATAAGGTTGCTGCACGTTTCATCTTTAATTTACTGCATGAAAGTCTGTTTCTCCTGTTCTCCCTTCCCTCCCTTCCCTTTCTCTCCAATTATGGAAGGATAAAGGATTGTTTATATACAAATAGGTGTCTTCCATTTGCATTGTGCACTTTCCTTTTTAAAGTTCTATTCCAGAGAGGTGGACATGTGTGTGATAGATCCTGGGGGAGAAGGGGAAATATACACTTGGGGGAAGTCAGGCAGGAAGGTGGGTGGAAACCTCACTGTGTTCGGCCTTTGGGTCTGTTTTGAGAAGAAAGACCTTAAGTCTTGTTTAGGATTAAGCTACTTTGAATTGAATGGGGTTTGTTTCTGAGTGGACATTTATAGAATTGCTCTATACCTGTGATGGCGAACCTATGGCACGGGTGCCACAGGTGGCACGCGGAGCCATATCTGAGGGCACGTGAGCGTTGCCCTAGCTCAGCTCCAGCACACATGTGCCCGCTGGCCAGCTGATTTTCGGGCCTTCCCGGGCCCACCGGAAGTTGGGAAATAGGCTGCTTCCGGCCTCCGGAAGGCCTCGGTGGGTGGGTGGGTTGAGGAAGGCTGTTTTTGTCCTCCCCAGGCTCCTAGAAAGCCTCTTAAGCCTGGGGAGAGTGAAAAATGGGCCCACTGTGCCATCATGTGCCAAAAGCGGGGGGAGTGCGGAGGGAGTACGCGCACGTGCGTGGGAGGGCGGGGCACAGGTGGGCATTGAATTATGGGTGTGGGCACGCATGCGCACGATTCCCCCGCTCTCCCTCCGCTTTTGGCACGCGACAGCAAAAAGGTTAGCCATCACTGCTCTATACAGTATATCCCAGTGATGGCAAACCTTTTCGGCACCGAGTACCCAAACTGGAATGTGCGTGCATGCATGTGCACGTGCGTGCACTGAAGCACCAGAAGCCGTTTTTGGCCCGGATAACGGCCTGGAAAACAGCCTGGTTTTTTGCCGTTTTCAGGCCGTTATTTGGGCTGTTTTCCAAGCCATTTTCCGGCTGTTTTTTTGTGTTGTTTTCAGGCCGTTTTCCGGGCCTGAAAACCGGCCTGAAAACAGCCCAGAAAAGGCCTGGAAACGGCCTGGAAAACAGCCCAAAAAATGGCTTGGAAACAGCCCCCCAAAAATGCCCTGTTTTTTGGCTGTTTTTCTGGCTGTTTTCCGGCACCCCAGAGCCCACAAAGACCAGCTGGCCAGCACGCATATGTGCACCAGAAACCAGAAGAGCAGCTGGCGATGGCGTGCATGTCCACAGAGAGGGCTCTGCGTGTCACCTCTGGCACATGTGCCATAGGTTCGCCATCACGGATATATCCCATTTATGCTACAGTTATGGCAATCGTTTCTTGCATTTAAGAACTTGACCTCAACTGTAGTCCGATCCTGTGCTTGTTGATTTGGAAATAAGTGTAACTTTAAGTTCAGTGGCAATTTACTCTGGTGAATAAGCAGAGGATGGGGACATTAAGTGTCACTGGTATCCCCTTCTTGTCTTAGCTGAACATATTACAATTATGTTTTTTTCTAAATCTAAAAGGAAACATTATGACATTTTGAGACTTTCAGGCATATTTCCATAGTTGAGGTTTCTTCCCACCAAATTTTTCCCCAAAAGGATATTTCTGTTTTATGGTTTATTGTGTGAATGTAGGATTCACTCCTGAACTTGACCATCTAGACATCTTTAGTTTGATTTTTAAAAATGACTTTCCTGGTCTTCTGGTTACAGAGATAATATTCGTTTCCTTAACATGGATATTCAAAGCAAGGATCTGTAATTGCCCTGGTTGACTAAAAGGCAGGATCTGGATTGCCAAGAGACATTCCCCAAACACGTTGTCTTTTAAAACAGTATTATCAAATTCATAATAGATTACTTATACTTTTCATCTTCTAAAACTAGAGATATGATGTTGGAAGGCAAATGAGACCAAATTATATAGTTGAATTTTAGGCAAGAGAAATACAAAAGAAGGTGCCTCATGTGAAAAAATACAGGAAAAACTACGGTAAGGTTTATAGAAAGCACAAGATATTTCTTGATATATAAGCAGGATATATAGATATATACATAATCAATCCAAATCAATCCACTGCACTGCTGAAGGCCTCTTCGTTGAAGGTTATGAAGCATGATTATAATCTATTATCTGGCTCGGTTTGGACTGATAAATAGAGATCTTTCAGCTTTCTAGTCCAGGCTAAGGAGGAATAACTGACCCTGAATCAGCCTATGGAAGGACTAGAAACTGGGTCTCCCTGCTGTTAGTCCAGCATGTTAACCTCTAAACTATATTAATGTTTAGTGCAGATGATATGGATATAAATATATATTAACTCAATTTAACTCTTAGCGGACTTTTCAACGATCATTTAAATAGCTATGCCAGGCAGATGTATTCCAGGCAAAATTAACAGCTATTTTGAATGTTTAATTTTCAGTTTCACTTAATTATATACCCGTTCAAGTAATTAATACAATCCCTTATAAATATCTGCGTAGCAGTGTCAATTAGAAGAAAAGGAAGTTTTACAGTGATGAAATCCACAGCAGGGGAAGTGAACAAAATGAATGGTGAGCCAGAAATTAAGAAATGACAATCACAACATTGCCACCAATACAAATCTCTGCAAAGTGGAAATGAGTGGTTATTATTGTCACTAGCATTTTTCCCCTCCTAAGATTGTAATGTAGCATCTAAAATGGATGAGGCTCCTGTTGGGCCAACATAGGCCAAATTATTTATTTATTAAATTTATGTGCCGCCTATCTTGTCCAAAGAAGACTATGGGTTGCAGCATGGGTAACCATTCATCTTAATGCTTGGCTATCCTATGCTTATTAATCAATTTTTTCACAAAATCTGCAAGATGATCTGGAACTGTATTGCACTGTTCGGCAACAAATGCAAATGGCTGTTCGTTGAAGAGGCGAGTCTATACAGCAGGGGTGTCAAACTCTATTTCACTGAGGGACACATCAGGATTGTGTTTTACCTCAGGGGGCCGGATAGGCATGGCCAGCTGAATGTCACTCATGTCAGGGGCGCCTATGGTGGCCTGAGAGCTCTGCCATCAAAAACAGAGCTTGGCATGGCCAGACCCGGCCCTCCTGAGCTCTGTTTCTCTGGCAGAGGCACTGCAGGCCAGTCCTCTGCTGTTTCCAGGGTAGCCCCATGGGCCAGATCTAAGCACCCCGCGGACCAGATCCAGCCCTGGGGCCTTGAATTTGACACCTATATAGCCTCAGGCGGGAGTTTCCAGAGAATGGATGCTTTATAAAAATGTAGAGCAAGCCTCACATTCAACACTATGATACATAGCAACGCTAATTTCAAATAGTACAACGATTTTATAAAGTGTTCCCTTGGGCTCAGGCCCCAGCGGGATTACTATTAATGCCTGTCCTGGAAACCCCTCTAACCAATCTGTGCCAATCCAATCGTTGAGATGAAAACAGCTCTGCTATTGTCAGGTCACAGCGCTCTGTTACAGCAACATCCAGGAATGAAGGCACCACCTACACTTGACCGCCAGATACGATCATGGCAACATGGAAGGTGGATGGTGGAAGACTCCCAAGGCTCTTCTCAAATCCACCTTTGTGTTTCTACACCATCCAACGCTCCCTAGTCTTCCCTATTCTTGATTAATTGCAACAAAGTATACATTGCTGACTATGATTGTCCAGTCATAGTTTGATCTTCATCCATTTTCTACTAGTAAAACACTCACCGGATTAAGTTTCTAGTCCAGAGCCATAAAGAAGCAGCAGTACCCCCACTTTTCCTTCAGGCAGCTTAAATAGCACCCTCTCTTCCCAGTTTTCTCATCCTCTCAGACTGGATATTGACTTAAACATGGTTTCCTCAGTTCTAGTTCAAAACTATAATCACTATTCCCACCCCCACCCCCCACTGCGTGTCACCCTCATCTTACTGCCCTAACAAACGCAGCTATCTGGATGCTCCATCACAGGATAGGGATTTGGAAAGAGGAACCAGATCAATGAGACCAAATTACAGCTGTGACTTCACGGCGGGGCCTTCTTGCTGCCGTTATATCTCTGTTAAAGGGTTCCTGAGATAGGTGAGGGGCTCGTCCTCCTCACTTACAATCATTGGAAAACTTTTTTTGAAGCTGATCAGTATGGATGCTACTATTCTTGCACAACGAATGCCATGATAGAAGACGTAGCAAGGGCCGTAGAAATAAATAAATAAATAAAAAACAAGAGCTCTGTGCAGAAGTATCATCAAGGGATCCTTGGTGCTCTCTGAGCTTGGTTGTTTTCTTGCAGATGTTTCGTTACCAAACTAGCACGGATGATGTTACCTAGTTTGGGTAGTGAAACATCTGTAAGAAACACAACCAAGCTCAGAGAGCACCAAGCAACCCTCATTTCAACTCTTGAGCTACAAATATTTTCCTTTAGAAGGATCATCCTTGGACAAAAGAGCTCCCACATAGTGCGCATGACTGAAAGATGATGGTGCCAAGGGGGATTGGGTGGAGAGAAGAGGGGTGGGCAGTGAAGGTGGATCAGAGCTTTCACTCCATTCAAAGGGTCAATATTCCCACTAGAAATCGTTCCAACAGCCTGGAAATGCTGGAACAGTGTTTGAAGGAGAGGAAAGTCAGAGTAGAAGGGGAGGAAAGACCCAACCTGGCATTTCTCTTCTCCACATACCAGTTACCTGGTTTGAACTTCACTGGTTTTCAATATTTTGAAAGGAGAGGCCATAGGACACTGCTTCTGAGAGATGAGTGGGAAATGGTACTGGCTTTTATGCACAGGTAAGAACATCCTTTTGGTAATGCTTCTAGTAGTTGGGCATAGCTCCCTGAACTTGTCTATTATTTTGCCTAGTTCATAACATTCAGATGAATTATGCCTCGGTCAAGATCTTGCATTCATGTTCTTCCCCAATGCAGGAAGCTATGTGGATTTTTGTTTTTGTTTTAGT